CATGCCCTATGGTGTTAACTATGGGGGTCAAATAACATGTACAGAAGTGCTTTGTAAACCACAGGGCTTCGCAAGTTTCTACTATTATTGTTGTCATTATGTTGATCAAAACACTAGAATGGTTCTGGAAATCTTGTAAGACTTAAAAGAATTCATTTTTCCTTAAGGAAGTTAATTTGCTTTGAGAATACATTGCTGTCCTTGAAGACCTGCTGAAACCACTTAATTCACTGCTCATTAAGATGTGCTGGCAAAGTAGGTGGCCCCAGGAGCTCAAAGGATTCCTCAGCAGCCCATGTTTGGAAGGTTGCCATAATTCAAAGCAGCTCACTAGAAACTCAAGGGAGAGGGAGGAGACACAAGGGCTTCCTGAGTACCCCAAGGAGTTGTTCCAAACTAAATCCTTTTGGGTCCATTTGATGCAAGAACACCTATCATTCCATAACAAATAGCCCTCATTCTGAAGCCAACGCAATTCCAAAGACATGAGTAGGAGGACTTCCACAGATTGCTCACAGGTAAATTGGGCTATGCAGAGTAAAGAACACTGGACTATAATTCATTAAAAACCACTGCCATTTAAACTAGAGCTCATTCAGGCACCCAAGGAAGAGGGTTGAATTAAAAGTAGTCAAATAGCTAGAAAATTGAATTGAAAATACTATCAACTAAGTGAAAAATAATTCATCACATAACCACAAATACTCCCTAAGCAATATTATTTATATTGTTTTCTAGGTTTTCAACTAAGTCTAGAAAACAATATAAATAATATATGATATCTCATTTTAAGAGTTAGTGATCATTTGCATTCTTCAAAATTGTGCAGATCACTCATTAATATCAAAATATTACCTGAAATGTTCTAGCTTTTATAATAAATCCAATCTTTTTTGATAAAAATATTTGATAAAACAAGGGTTAAGTTTATTTTTGTCCTCCCACAAACCATTATACTATCAAATTACTAATCCGGATGAACAAAGGCATTGATCTTCCTGTAATATATCTAATCTTTCCAATTAAATTCACAGCAGTATCCTCTTTTTCAGAAAGCAGTTGTTCTAATCAAAAAATTAGAAAAAGCATTATGCACAAATTAAATTGCATACCAAAAGTCACTTCTATCTATACTGTTGTGAATAATATTTTATCTGATTACTATGCCTGACTGGTCTTAGGTCTTATAAAGAGATGCATATCTAAAAGTAAACCACTAACTGGGCATACTGATGTGACAGACTCAAATGCAATAACACAAAGCCAGGTAAAGTCTTCAGGTTAAAGAAGACTCCTTTATAGCTTTGGTATTGACAGACAGGTAATAACTGACACAGGACTTAACTATTAAATTCTTCATTCATCTGTTATATTTAGGGAAAAAAATTTAAATACTTAGAATCATAGCAAATTGGAACTGGAACAATCTTATCATACTCCACACTCTTACTGATGAGGAAATCCAAAAAGTAATTTTCCCAAAGTCTTAGACCTGCTTAGTGGAAGAACCAAAACTAGAACCAGATCTCCTGATGCCCAATCCAACCTATCTATATCAACCTGTCTCCAAACTTAAAACAGATTTTTATATCACATGTAAATTATAAAAGTGCTAAAGACACTTGAGGTGGTAGTATATTTTTCCTCCTTTCAAGAACACTCTTTTAAAATATGTTATTGACCTAACTAATAAGAAAGACAGGGAAGGAAAGAGGGAAGGACCAAAACTTTTCATTTGCAGAAACCTTTCATTTGCATAAAACTATAAATTTGAAAACCTTTTCATTTGCAGAAACTTATGAATTCTACTATTATACTTTCAGCTCAACTTTCCCCATATAAATTTATGACAAAAGAAGAAGCTTTGAACCATTTCCATTTCCTCCTACTCTGAAAAAGATATTAAGAGGCAAAACTGGAATTGACAGGACCATTAAAACATGACAGTAAGTTTTTAACAGTCTTCCCTCTAATCTGACAGTTTAGATCATTTATCATTTCACCAAAGCCACTTTTCAACTTTTCAACTACAGAGTCAGACTGTTATATCCTTGAAACCAGAGTTGACTTCTAAACTTATTGTAACTGAAATTCTCTTAATAATTTCTGCTCAATTTAAGAGCACAGCATATTGTATCTCTACTATAGGCTCCACTGACGAAGAATTGTCAGAAATAAATGAGGAAATATATGTGAAAGCACTCTACAAATATGAAATTATTTTAACACATGGAAGGCACTGTATTTTAATAAAGGTCTATAATTATGTTGTTGATGTGACTAAGAAGCACCATTATTAGTGGTAAATCATTAGATGCATTTTCTTTAAAATCAGGAGCAAAAGAAGGATGTCTCCTATCATTGCTTCATTTTTACTTAACTTCATTTAACACTATACTGGAGGTTGTGGTCAGTGCAGTAAGACAAGAAAAAGAAAAAGAAAAAGAAAAAGAAAAAGAAAAAGAAAAAGAAAAAGAAAAAGAAAAAGAAAAAGGATTGGTAATGAAAAAGCAAAACTGTCCTTATTTAAAGATTACATGACAAAGTGGCTAACATAACATCAAGGTATTATTAATGTTAATTCGGGTCTGTGCAGGATATCCAGAATGGAAACTCAAAGGGATATTGCTGGGTATGAGGTATTATCATAGTTATTATTCTAGAAATAACAATGTTAGGAGTAAACTGTACTCAGTGGCCTTAAAGGTTACAGATAAGCAGCTTTTGGGAATATGGGCAGAGGGGTCATAAAGTAAAAGACTATGGCTCAAATTAGAAATAAATAGGAAAGGAAAGTGAACACAGAATCTTGAGAAGAACATTTAATTCTAAATTTTACATATAAGTATGCTATCCTATTTAGGAGTTATCACCACCACTCAAGGTTTCCTGGCATGAGCACTGGACAGTTAAACAATAGCAGATCAAGAGGAGACGGAATTCATTCAGTCACAAACCAGGTGGTCCACACAGTAGGGGCCCAGCAAATGTTTCCAACTTTTGCTGATACATATCTCTCTGCTCACCTCCATTATCAAAGATTGTTGTGAAATTATTTTTATGTACGTATATTTTAGTACAATATTAAAAGCCTTAATAATTTTTATTTAATATCTTGAATATGATTTCATTTATTTGTTTTCTACATCTGCACAAAATTGTGTAATTGGCTACTTGTCTATAATAAAGTATCTTAGATCTACATTTTATAATATTCTTCTCAGAAAGGGCTTAAAAACTATCTAATCATGTAGTAAAATGTACAGTGATAATCTAAAATAGCTACATGAGCTGTGTAAATGTATTAATGAATATTTTGTAATGAACTCAAGGTTAAATTATTATTTCCAACAGTAAACCAAAGAGTACCAACTATTTAAAGGTGCCAAATGTAACTATTATTTTTGTATTTAGTAATGTTTCAGATAGTTCCCCTTTGAATATTATATAATAAGGCAAATACTATTTTTACTACAATGGAGCAAAATTTTAAGTCAGAAGCTATAAGCATATTAGAACCATCTGCTTTAGTTATATGAAGAAAATATCTAGTATCAATTAGAAAAAAACTAAGGGGAAAATCACTGACTAGCTAAAAATATACTAAATGCTAGGGGAAAAATGTTGTTCCATATGCCATAAGTCAGACCCTTCTAAATAAACTTAGAAACTATATAAATTTTCCTCTTCTTTACATAAGTCAGAATTTATTTAGCTTGCAGAATTTCAAAGTGGCAGCAAAAAATTTTAAATAATTAAACTTTGCCTTTTTCAAGCATGTAACAAATATATTATACATTTTCTTGCATTGTCCAATGGTCTTTGGTACTTTTCAAAGTAGATGATGTATTATTTTCCAGAGGTCAGTATGCTCTCAGATTGTAAGTTACTTATGTATCTCTAGCTCTGAATGATACAGTCATATAACAATAGATTTCTGATCAGTGTATATTTATAATCTTCTAAAATAGTTAGAACAAATAATGTGAGAGAGGGAGAAAGAAAAATAAAAAAGACAGGAGTAAGAAGAGGGCAAAACCACCAACATGCAAGAAGGACTTTAATGAAAGCTGTGTCATTCGCAGAATTAAACACCAAATTTACTTGGCTAGAATATGTAGGCGAGTGCTTTTTATAAGTGCTTGCTTTTTTTAAATAGTAAATATAAAATGAAATAGGTTTGTGAGTATATCTCTGACTACATACTGGCTAATATTTTCTACTCATTAAAAAGGCTAAATTTGATTATTCAAGAACTGGTTATCTAACTTATAAAATAGCCGTGTTTGCCTTTTTCTCAATATTATAATCAGATTTTTGGGTAGTTCATTATTCATTAACAATATCTACTAGAATGGTAGATGGAAGCAATGTGAGTATACCCACCACACTCCATTCTGCATATAAGCTTGAAAAATTAATAGTTATTCTCCTCTGACAGAAACAGAATCTTTCGTATCTAAGCAGAGCACATTTGGTGAAAATCAGGAAACAGGTTGTTTTCTCCCCAAGCCTACTTACTAATAAAGAGGGAGAAGAAAGATCTCAAAATGGGACACAAAAACTGCACAAAGATGTACGATGTGACATAACTCAGAATACATCAACCACATCAGAGAACTTGCCAGTATTCAACAACAGGCCCCACATTGATTCTTACACTTGCCTATTGTCAAAAAAAAAAATCGAGACAAGTGCTATATTATCTTGTCAAAAGGGCATCTGGGACTCCTCTGAGCCTTCACAACACAGCTGGAGAGGCCCTTCTGTTCCTTTCCTGCTAGGAGGAGAGCCACGCTCATGTGGAGGTGGGGAACAAGCAGCCAAAAAGAGTCACCTTCTGGATGCAGTACTGAAGATCTGGTAGTGTATGTGTAAAGCAGAGAACGCAGTATAGTGCAAATAAGAAATAAAGACAGAAAACAATCTAAAAATCTTTAAATGGTTCCTAAAAGATAGCCCCATGATTTAATTTGGAAAAAGTGATATTGTAGCCCTACCTTGCAGATCTTATACAGTGAGTCCTGACCATCTCCTCCAGTATCTTTAAAGTAATCATGTGCAGGAAACGTACGATGAATATCTCGAGTAATAACACTCTCCTGGGCTGAGTCCTAAAAACGAAAAAAACCCAAACTAGTTATTAAATTAAAAAATGTTTTAATTATGAAAAGTAATATATGTACAGTAAACAATTCAAACATCATAAAAAAGGTAAACAGCAACCCCCCCCACTAAAACATTTCTTCTAACCCAGACCCCATAGTCCCATTCCTCAGAGATAAATGCTACCAATAGCTTCTTTTATACCCTTTCACCCATCTATCTATAGATCTATGAGTGTGTATGTATGTGTATGTGTGGGGGTGTAGGAAGGTAGGGACATTGTATACACACCTCTCCATAGACAGAAACTGAAGGAAACTATCTGTTCCTTTTATTTTTTTTTTCCCTGCCCATTATGGTTTGCAGGAATCTTTTACTTAATAGAACAACTTATAGAATGTTCCTAATCAAGACATGCAAATGTAGTTTATTTTCTTTAGCAGCAGCTACTAAAAACTTAGGTACATCTGTATATAGATATATCATAACTTATTTGACATTCTTCCATTAATTACTGCATTTTTAATATTTGTTCTATTTATGTAACAATATCACAAGGAACATTTTTATATATATGTCTTTCAAACATGTTCAAGCTCATGTTCTTTGAGCTTGAATTGCTAGGTCAAAAGATATTTGCACTTTCAATTTGCACTTTCAAGAAGTACTCTCTCTCCAGAGTTGTACCAATACATATTCCAAACAACAGCAGAGTATGTATATCTTCACACCCACCTAATACCACAAACTATTTAATTTTTAAATATGACAATCAGAAAAATAAAAACTCAGACCACAGTCATTTAAAAAGTAAAAATATTATCAACCTTAGCCCCCGTTAGGTCAGTTATACAACTCACCCACTCCACAAAACAAAAAGCTTACAAGCTACTATATTAAGATGACATATGCTTTAAAGATAAACCTAGAGATTTTTTAGACAGATTCAGGAACCAAAAGCTAAAAATTGAGTAAAATGCTAAGCCTTATAAAAATGATTAATCATTCACTTGATTTTATTTTATTCCTGGAAACGTTTATCTGTTTTAATGTCAAGAAAATAAGATGAGACTACTTCTAGCAACCCTGATGGTGAAAATATTTTGTACAATTCAAAGAAACATCCAAGATTACTAACTGTAAATTAAAAGCATTGTTTAATGACTTGTCTCCATAAAGATTTGAACAAATCCCCTCTCTTTCAATCTCAAATCTAGAAAGGAAAAAATGATTAATATATGAGTTACTTTAATGAGTGCTATTTCCCTTTCTCCTTACAGCTGAGAAGGATACAAGAAGGGGGTAGTTGATTGCTCTAACTTAAGCCAGTACCTTCTCTTGCTGTCTTTTTCATTTTAGCTGCTATTTCATGCTGGGTGGTAATTAGATCTTATATCATGTAGAGAAAGAAAGGAAGCAAACTGAAAAGTTCCAAATTTGCTAGCAAACACCAGACATATTATAAATCAATCCAGAGGAAATTCTGATGGCTTACAGGAATGGAATACTAAAACTGAATTAAAATAGACCTTTAAAAAAAAAAGCACCATAACTTAGGTAAAAGGATACTTAACTTTCAAAAACGATACCTAACTTTCCCATAAAAGGAAAGTTTATATTTGTCAAGGTGAATGTAGTTTCTAATGATAAAGACATTTGGGGTAGGATGGGGATACAGAACAAAGTTAAGTTTTAAAGGTAATGTATAAAGAGATACATTATGAAATATTTGTTTTATCTGGTCTGGAGTATAAGTATGAAAATATGGTAACCAGGTAGACCAAAGTTTTCACTGCCCAGCTTTTCTCCAATGGGAAAGTTCTTTTTCTGTATAGTAATAGTTTCCATACATAAACTACTTGAAAGATGACCAGTGAAAACGTTACTGCTGCCACTGCTGAACTATTTCAGCGGCAAACATGCCCAGTCACCCACATGGTAACTCTTTCTATACTTATGAGAACCTTAACAGAAAGAAATCACTGGACTATATTTCCCAGAAACTGCTTACACATTGAGCATCATGCTGTGTTTAAATGGTACCAGTAGTTTGATTCAGGGAAACAAAAATTGATCAAAAATTTCCAGGAAGTAAATATGCATAATACTGAGTAATTTTTTTCTATGCTACATGATCTTCCTTGTTTAAGAAATAAAGGAGCAAAATCAAATGAAAACAGAATCACCAACTTTTCCTTATTGCATAACATTTCCCTTCCTAGGATTACTTTTCAATGCTTTGTACATACATGTATGTTCATAGAGTTTGCTTCTTGTTTATTGCTCTCGGTTGGCTAAAGCAATAATTTCTGGAATTTCACTTTATAACTAAGTTATTTTGCTACCTTGTTCACTGATTCCTTTCATATGAGTAAGTGTCAAGAGGTATAATAGATTTTTATAAACCCATTAATAGGAATGAAATTATATACTAGACTAATGAAAATTAAAAGAAATAATTGTGTTTTTGAAATAAAAGCTAAAGTTAATCCACCTCCCAATTACCTATGACAGGTGAGAGCAGAAACAGTACATATTTTAGGATCCGCACATAATCCTCCAAATTCACTCACTCACTCATTCAACAAATATTTGAGTCAGAGTCACCAAATCTAACAGTTTCCAAAAGGAAGCCTAAACAATTTTTCTCTTCAATATTAATTCCTTTCTTTTTAGATTTAACTCCAATTGTAGTGGTCAATCTTTATAAGAAATAAAATGAACAGTGAGGAAGAACAAAAAGAGTCCAAATAATTCTCCATCTAAATATCTGGAGTGAAAGAGTTTCATGTGAAAACATTTTATTTTTATATGGCTAAAAACAGTTTATAGCACGACCAAAACTGATACGAGGTCATTTTCTTTGAAGGCTCCCATAAGCAGTGACTCCCTAAATCCTGCCAACTGTCTCCAGGATGAGAAGAGGGAAGAAATCATTCCTTCCCGGGCAGCTACTTCACCTATATTTAGAATCACAACTTGCCCCACAATTTACTTCTCAGAGATGCATCTCCTATTCTGCTCCTCAGAGTCCAATATGATGTTTTAGTGGCTTTGGAGCCAAATTCATTGATTCCTGCTTTCCTCATTTAATACCTATAGGATCTCAAACAAGTTATTTAATCTTGCTAACCTTTAGTTTCTCATCTGTAAAATAGAATGATAATACCAAATGCATAGTGTTATTTAGAATAAAATAATGTATGAAAGTGCTTAGCACGTTGCCTAGGATAAATTGAATACTTGTTAAATAAATACATATTATTATTAATAATTATTCCACCTTTCCTTAAGAAAATTTCATTACTTAGCTGTTTAAGTTTTTTGGTGTATAAATATTTTAGACAATCTTCTGTATTTGTGCACTCTAAACAATAAATAACTGTTTGGGGAGGTATCATAAACATTATGATTATGAAACAAATTCCCCTAGAGATTTACGGCATGAGGGTATAGTAAAGCATACACATCCTGTTTAATTTCCTATCACACATCTTAGTGTCCCAAATTATCTTTGTTTGTAGCAATCCATTAGCAAAAGAAAAAGTGGATAAAGTACTGTTTCTATCAACTGATACACACTCTGGCCCCAGCTTTGCATATAACCTATACAGTAGAGAAAGATGTATACAGACATAGTCAGAAGAAGTAGAAGAAGGACAAGGTGGAGTAGAAGTTAAATTTTCCAGAGCAGTCATAATTTCAATTACTACTTTAGAATTTAGCTTCTAAGGATTAGAGAAGGATTGCAGTCACGGTTAAGGAAAGGACAAATACCACCATCGAAAGTGCATGCCTCCCTCTGGACCATCAACACCAAAAGGTAACTTACAGGCAAAGTCCTTGAGATCTTCCTTTCTCCTGCCTTAGTCAGGCTGGGCCATGCACAAAGCTGATTCAGACCACAAAGTAGTGACAGGTTTATAACAAAGTCTGAGAAGTTCAGTTTTATATCCTATACCCCACAAACCTGATACTACTACCACACAGAAACTAAATCTCAAGGATTCTCTTTAATTTCTAAACCATTAAGTCATAAGACTAAACTTATCCTCAAAAAAAGACTTCAATCTCTAGTGAATAAAATTAATGGTCCAACAGAGGATATAATTTAGCTTGGTGAAGATCAGTTTAAAACCAATTCTAGGAGGTATGGTAAACAGCTTGATTAACTTTTGATCATTTTAATGTGAGTTCAATTTAGAGGCTATCAAGAGTATTACACAAGCTGTTCTTCCAGTATAACTTATATAGCCTGACATGTTTACAATTCTCTTAATTCCTATTTCAAGAAAATCATCACTGACTTACTTGTTGTGAGAAAGAAACGAATGCAGCACACAAGTGTCAACAAGTATTAGGAAGACAGATTTGGATGACCATAGCCTATTATTTTTTTATGAAACAATTTCTGGGCTGTCAACAGCTAGAAAGGTATTTTAGTGAGGATGAGGAAGACTGTTTTCAAATAGAACCTTAGCAGCAGCACAAGTGTAAAAGTAATATCCTGACAAATGAACACCTTGTCTACATCCTGATTTGCCATATTTTAAAAACAACGATGGCATCTTTTCTTATTAAGCCCTATTGTCAAGTACAAAGCATAAGATGCATTTTTACTTTACATCTACCACAAAATCATTTCAAATTTGCAAGTACCATGCCAATCTGTTATTGTCATTAAAAATGACAATGTAGACCATCCCTAGCTACAATCAGTCAGCAGATAAATGACTCAGAGCTGAACAATTTTTACCTTAGAATGTTCCTTCTATTCTTACTCCACAAGGATACTCCTTTAGTTCTATGTTGGATGGTAAAACATTGCAAAGTGGATTGCTAACATGTCCCTGGAAGCAGATGGGTTTGCAGTGGTGGGTCTGATTTATTTGCCTTGATGTCTGACAAAACTCCAAAGAGGCAGAGATCAAAGGAGAAAATATAAAAGTATATTCTAGTTTCAATCATGCTACTAAAATCATGAACTAGAAACAGTAACACAAAAAGA